TGCACACCACCTCTATGCAACGTGGATGATTAATGCAAAGAGGTGCAAGAGGAAGGCGGGGAAGGAGCGAGTGGGTGCTGAAAGATCATGTGGTTACCTTTCCTTGCCTTACTTGATGTAGGTGGTTCTCAGGACCGCGGGTTGTCTTTGACACGTAAATTCCACAAGTAACGCTTAATAGCCCTTCATAGTCAGAGAATGGGGAGGAGCGCTTGTTCCCCCTACAGTAATGCGCCTGTCATGGAGAGATTCATTACTGGACTCAAAGTGTAAGAAAGAATACTCTGATTCTCGAGGGTACACTTAGCTACGGTAAAATGAATTGTCTCGATCATATTTGTCCTACATTTTTTAGGCAATAGGGCTCCAAATATACGGAAAATAGTGGAGAACGCAAACGCTACGGTAGTAATGTACCGTCCCACATAAATGATCACATGCCTTTTCCAAGTCCGTACAAATTTGAACAGGTGGTTCCGACAAGCCAGACTTAAAAGCACCTAATTTTTTTATTCGCCTCATACAACAATGTCAACTTAATTAAAATGGGTTCTTCAACAGGGACAAAAAACGTAATTTCATATTAGATAGTCTCCTTTTAACCGGGATCAAATTGGCAGAAAGTAAGTGTTTTCGATGTCTATCACCTCTCAAAGGAATGACTAACTTCCAGACTGTGCTCAAAGGGAAGCACCATCAATCCGGCATAATAATAATCTTATCCCATAGAGTCCTTTAATGGAAAAGTCGCTAAATTCTAGGCGGTGTGCCACTGCCATTGTGTTACAAGTGTCTTCTCTCTGTTGTGGAAATTTAGTCATGTGAATTTTAGGGTCTGCAAAAGCGAAAAAAGTGTTAACAAGTAATATTTGTCATTAGGAGGTGGTAGTTGGAATTTCAACATGCAAGTGCCTCTTTTATTCTCGACGGAAAGCATTCCACTCCTCTCCGTGTTATTAGTGTGAAGGTAAACTTGGCTTTGGCGGTGTAAGGAGATCACATGATCAGAGATGTGAAGAAGGGAGTGCAGCCAGCTGCAGTCTTTGTTGGTAAATAAAAGTTAGCAGTCTGTGTACCTGAATTTTATTTCTTTACTCTCTGATGATGCCTCTGACTGACAAACATGA